CCTGGCATCTCTGGCCTGTACCCCAGCTCTTGTATGCATAAATAGAATAAATGTTTTTAAAAAAGAAAAGAAAAAGAAGGTAATGTTCTGCGAGATGGGAGGGCCTCTGGCACAACAGAGGGCGTATGTGGGTCTTTCCTCACCCCAGGCACTTACCTGTCATTCACTCTCTCCAGCCCCTCAGGGGGGCTGCTTGGAAGACACATGCTCTCTGGTCCAGCTGGTTGGGAGGGAAAAGAGAAGAATTGCTTCCCCATTGGCTCAGGGGTTAAAGTCTCATCACCAGCCACTGCAGCCTGAGTTCAATCCCCGTCCAGGAAGCTGACCCACATTGTGCAGCAGACCTCTCCTGTCTCACCTGCTGTTCCCCTCAGCAGTGTATTTCAGTCAATCCACCTGACTGCTCCCCACTCTGTCTCTGGTGAATCCCCTCACTGCCCTCCTCCTGCACCACTGGCCTACGCCCCAGTTCTTGTATGCATAAATAAATAGAGTATTTTTTAAAAAGTTGCAATGTTTTGAGGAGTGAGAATAAAGATGTTTTCTCTCCAGAACCTTTGCCTCCTCTTGGCTTCTGTCCTCCCTGCCTCCCTAGTGGGGAGTGCTACCCTAAGGCCTCTGTGGCTCACTGGAGGGAATACCTAAGCCCTTCTGGAATTGAGGGGCATTGTGGTTGCTCTGGGGCACTGGACCATTGGTTGTTTTTCATCTGATCTGGGCCCATTGAAGATGCACTTACTTTTGTATTTGTTTTGGTTTTGCTGTTCAGGTTGCAAATCTTGGCATTATCATCAACTCTTCTCTAACCCCCTTCTCCAAACAACCCATCAAGAAATCCTGTCAGCTCCACCTTCCAAATATATCCCACATCCGACCACTTCTCACTACATCCACTGCTGCTGTCCTGCTCCACGCCATTGTCACCATCAAAGCCTCCGTGTTGGTGGCCAGGCTTCTGCTCTGCCCTTCCCCTACACTCTGTTTTCAACTCCGGAGGAGCCTGACACAACATGTCATGCAGTGGCCCGCCCCCTGCCCAGGGACAGCCAAAGCAGTGGCTCCACATCAACTCCCTGCCCCTTTCTCCCGCTTACTCTCTGCTGTCTCATTGGCCTCCTTGATCTTTAGCAAAGCCCACTCCTGCCTCAGGATCTTTGCCCTGACTGACTGGCTTCCTAGAATATTCTACCTCCAGACATCCACAGAGCTCTTGCCCTTACGTCCTTTAAATCTTTGCTCAAGTGATACCTCAGTGAGGCCCACCCTGACCACTGCATCTCATTGTTTACCCCCTCACTCCTGCAGCCCTGAGCCTCCTTTTCATCTGTGGCATTTTAATCAGACTATTATGTTTGTTGTTTGTCTGCCCCCAATTGAGATGAAAGCCCCCCAGGGTAAAGATCTTTGCCTATTTTGTTCATTGTTCTAGCTGAAGAGCCTACAAACTGGGCCTTGCACATAGTATGTGCTTATTAGAGATTTGTGGGATGAATGAATTTACAAATTAAAGAGGGGTAAGATTGTGGCAATAATGAATTTTTTTAAGATTAATTTTTAATTTATTTATGCATACAAGAACTGGGGTATAGGCCAGAAGTGAGGGGAGAGGATTCACCAGAGACAGAGTAGAGAGCAGAACAGGCAGACTGACTGAAATACACTGCTGACGGGAGTAGTGGGGAGACAGGAGAGGTCTGCTGCGCCATGTGGGTCAGCTCCCTGTCCAGTGATCGAACTCATGCTGCAGTGGCTGGTGATAACTTGATAGTGCTGAGACTTTAACCCCTGTGCCACCAGGGAGACCCTAGAAATAATGAATCTTTGAGAACTGAATAGGCTCAGACATTTGAGAAGGTGATATTTGGACTGGAAGTATATCTGGGAGCTGAGGTGACTGGCAGTAGCTCATCCTGAACACAGGGATGGAGGCAAGAGAGCTTGGTGGCCTGCAGGAGTTGGAGGGAGGTGTTCACCACTCATACCTAGTTGGAGAGGATATTAGCAAGGTCAGCTGAGACCAGATTGTGTAAAGCTTTGAAAGCAGGATAAAAACTTTCCCTGCCAGGACATGTTATGTAATTTGTGGGATCTAGTGCAAAATGACAATGCGAGGCCCCCTTAGAAAAAGCATTTATTTTTTTAAAGTCTTTTTTTTTAAATTTTTTTTTATAGAGGCATGTTTTTTATTTATTTATTTGTTTGTTTGTTTGTTTGTTTTGTTTATACATGCACTGGGTACAGTCAGAAGTGCAGGAGGGTGAGAGAATTCACCAGAGCCAGAGTGGGGAGCAGAACAGGCAGAAGGACCGAAGTACACTGCTGAGGGGAGCAGCGGGCAGCAGGAGAGGTCTGCGCGCCATGCGGGACCCTCCTCCTGTGGCCGGGGAGCAGCCGGGGATTGAACCGGCGCCGCAGAGGCTGCTGGCAGCTTCGCAACCCAGCGCTCAACCGCTGCGCCACCGGGAGGCCCATTTTTTTTTTTTAAAGTCTTTAATTATTTTTATGTAGAAGAACTGGGGTGCAGGCCAGAGGTGCAGGGGTGAGAGGATTATCCAGAGACAGAGAGGGGAGCAGAACAGGTAGATCTACTGAAATACACTGTTGGGGGAGCAGCAGGTGAGACAGCTGTCTGCTGCAACATATGTGGGTTAGGTCCCTGCCTTGGGATTGAACTAGGCCTTAGTGGTGGGCCTTCACGGTGGTAGCACTGAGACTTAACCCCTAGGCCACCAGGGACGCCCTAGTAAAAAATTTCAAGATGATGACAGCAGAGCATAAAATGGAGCTCTTCTAAGAGCAGGGCTTTGTGTGAGCACACAGGCCATCGGCCCATCAGGCACACCCTACCTATCCCACAAGGGAGCTGAGGAGAGCCTTCTAGCAGGCCAGGGATGTAATTGGAGCTGGACTTTAGCATGATTATTCAGGCATGTCTGGTGGGGTAGGTAGGAGGGAATCTCCTTAGAGAGACCCTGTGCAGAGAAAGTGAAGGTGGGGGAACAAGAGGCATAGGGCAGGGGTGAGAACTTTAGTGAGCAGGAGGTTGGAGGCGGTGGTAGTGTACCTAGACACCAGAACAGGCCTGCAGGGAAGACCCGATGGCAGCACACCTTTCTTTGGAGGTGATGTGGAACTAGGAATCAGCAATGTCCACCAGAGGGCAGATCATTCTCAAAGATTTGCGGGATGATTTTTGGGGTTGGGGGGAGCAGCATGTAGTCAGTTTCAACTTCTCTCCTTCCCCTCACTGACTTCAATGTTCCTCCTCCAACTGTCCCTCAATGGCTGGGTGCCTGAATGCAGCTGAAGCGGGACATGGGGAGAGTTCCTGGAGTCCCATGCATTTACTAGACTGTTCCTTGTACCTGTTGCCTCAGACAATACTTTCATGCCATCATCCTCTCCTCGCATCTGTTGGGCTGCCTATTTCTCTGATAGACTTTGTTAAGAGCTCTGCTCAAGATGCTGTAGCAGGGAGTTGGAAGTCAAGTGTTCAAGATCCAACTAACACTTTCCTCCACAATCCCTGGGGCCTCTCTAATCCTGTACCTTTGGGGACTTGTTATTTGGGTCTGGTCTCTGGCTCCTGTGAGGACTCTGGCTTCTGCTCACCTTAACTGCTGTTGAGTCCTTGGGGGCAAGTTACAATATGTCCAGGACACAGGGGTGGGGGTAGCTTGGAGCCAGAGGAATGGGGGGGCATTCTAGGGGAAGCAGGCTTCTGGTTATATTAAGGGGGGCCTCTAAAGATAAGAGGGAACTTAAAGGACCTCCCCTGGTGGCGCAGGGGTTGAGCACTGGGTTGTGAGGCTGCCAGGGCAGCCTCTGCAGCGCCAGTTCGATCCCCGGCCACTGGCAAGGGTCCCACCAAAAAAAAAAAAAAAAAAAAGTGGGGGGGAACTTAAAGCTCATGAATCCAATGAGGAGGACACACGCCCAGGGAAGGCAGGACACTTCTCCAAGTAGTGCCCCCTGGAATCATCTGCAGCCAGTTCCATTTCTTTTCCATGGGTTTTCTATCTTAGGAAGGATACCTCAGATATGAATTAAGGTGAGAATGCCTCTTTGTTGCCTTGTGGGGGCATTTAAAAGGTTACTGGAATTCAAAGATGCTATTTAGGATGTCATCACTGGAACAAAAGGCGTGGATGCTCTCAATATAGGGACGAGGAGCCTAAACTCAGATATACTGAGATTTCCCCCCCAGATCACACAGTATTCTCACTCCACAGAGTTGGGGCAGGGATGCAGCTGGCTGACCTGGTGCCTGTCCCCCACCTCGAGGGCCCTGGGCATGAGACTGCATGGAGAGAGAAATGGAAGCCAAGGAGAACAATGGCAGGTGATGGGTGGTAGATGGTAGACTAACACCGCATTTGACAGGTGACAGGTTGGGTGATAGACAAGATGGATTTTATGAACTGCCAGACGAACGGACACGCAGACGGAAAATTACTTTAGAACCAAAAGATGCCAGTTGCGGGGACGGCTAAAAGCCTTATTTTCTATTTTCTATTTTGTCAAATAATAATAAGCACAGGTGAGCCAAGCTTCCCGTTCCAGATTTCAAAACACCCGACAACTGACGGGAAAAAAACGAAGAGTCAGACTCTCGGTACCACCGAGGAAATGACCCGGGGTTCGCCGGCCTCGGGTGTTGCCGGAAATGGCCGACGACCGTTGTCGCCGGCGGGGCGGGAGGGGGCGTGGCCGACTCGCGGCACGCGGAGTCGCTTCGGGTGTTTCCGGAAACTGCCGAGAGCTAGCATGCAGTGGGCGGGGCAAAACCTGTGGGCGTGGCTGAAAGGCCAGGAGTCGCTTCGTGGATTTCCGTAAACAGAGCCGAAGCTCGGTGTTCGGGATCTAGGAGGTGCGCGCGTCCCCGGGGATTAGTTTCTTCGGGTGTTTCCGGAATTCACCCGTAGTGCCCGGCCGGGAGTAGGAGGCGCGTCCCCCTCCCGCTCCTCGTCGCTTCGGATGTTTCCGGCTGCTGCCGGCGGAAAGAGCCGAGGGCCGGCGGTGGTGGCGGCCATGTTGGGAGCAGCAGGTCCGGCGGCGGCTGCCTGAGTGCCGGGCGCGGAGCAGTGCCGCTGAGGGCAGGGGAGGAGCGAGGCAGGCGGCCGGCTGCGGCGGCAGAGAGTAGGCGGAGCGGCGCAGCCCGGCCGAAAGGCGGCACAGCCCAGCCGGGGGTCGGGGGGGTGCGGTCCGGAGCCGCTCGGAGCCGGCGCGGCCTAGCCCGAGCGGCCCATCCCCGGGCTGGCGTGAGCGGCTACCCGGCCTCCCCGCACCCCCGGCCGGGGCCCATGCGGCGGGTGCCCCTGCTGTGAGAAGCCCCGCCCGGCCGGGCCCCGCGCCTTCCCTTCCCTCCCTTCCTCCAAGCTTCTCGGTTCCCTCCCCTGAGATACCGGCGCCATGTCCAGCGCCCGGACCCCCCTACCCACGCTGAACGAGAGGGACACGGAGCAGGTAAGGAGCCCCGAGGGCTCCCCGGATTCTCTGGCTGGGCCCCTGCACCTTGCGGAGCCTCCTCCCTCTTCTGCTCTCCTCGTGCCCCTGCTGCCATCCTGCAAGCCTCGGCTGCCCTGTCATCTGGCTCCCGGCCCCGCACATCCCCTTCGAGTCCCGTCCTGGGACCCACCTCCTCCTGACTGGAGCTGCACACTTGTCTCTCTGCCGACCCCCTTCTCCCCTCACCGCCCTCCTGTGCGCTTCCGTGTTACCTCCGCAGCTTCCCCTTCTCTTCCCTTTTTCTCTCAGGGGCCTTTCTGGTCTTCCTCCACCCACGCTCAAAGCAGCCACCCTCCAGCTCCTCGAACAGCACCCCGCGATTTGCCCCAGATCGTTGTCCACCTCTCCTCCTCCTCCTCCTCTCTAGCCCTGCTGCCCTCCGCCTGCACCGGTTCTCCCGGTCCCTGGTTATCGCCCTCGGGGGCCCTTGTCCCGACAGTGTGTCCTCGATCCCTATCCCCTTCCAGTTCCCCGGTTTTTTCCTACCCTCTTCCCTTTGCAAACTGTGCGCTCCCTCTTGCTTTGCAACCCACCAGCTCCACCCTCATCACCTTTCCAAAACGTTCGCCTACTCTTTGCTCATCACTTTCCCTTCTTTCACCCGGAGCTCCCTGCTGCCTGCGCTGGCATTTGTTGCTTCCGTGTTTCCCATACAGCTGTCATGCGCATGGTTTTCCCACAGGTTGTCTTGGGGTTCCAATCACCATTCCCTTCAGAGCCTTTGGGCCCCGCACGTTTCTGGTTTTCTCTTGTGGGTGCCTCACAACTGTGTCCTCGGGCTCTTCCTACCGAGGGAAAGACATGCACTACTTCAGCCCCCTCCCCCACCCCCAGCAACACAACCTGTTGCTCAGTGCTCTCCCGGGCCTGGGGGCATCGGCAGCACCGTCCTTGCCTCTCTGTCTTCTTTCACTGCAGCACAAACCATGACGCCTCTTCTCTCCACTCCTGGGCCTGTGACTTTTCATGGTCTCTTCCTTCTTGCTGCTGCCTTCCCGTTTCTCTGCCCTCACCCAGTCCTCCTTACCTTGCTTCTGAGTCAGTATTGCCTTTCCTCTCCATGCTGGTCTCCTGCCTTCTTCACATGGCATTTACTTTCCCCACATATGTCCCTGTCCATCCCCTTCCCGTTGGCTTGTCTTTGTAACTCTCCGTCCAGGCATTTTGCAGGCTCCTTTCTGGAGCCACAGGCTTCCCCTCATCCTCACCGTCACTGCTGTCATTTGTCACCCAAGCCTCAGCCTCTTCTGTCATCGCACCTCTGAACTGAGAGGCGTCCGCCTTTTCCTCCTCTCCCCTTTCTTTCACCATCTCCAGTGTCCCCTGCTGACTGCTCTGTGCGAGCCCCCTGCCTGGCACACCTTTCTCGGTGGAGAACTTTATTAGACCAGGAAAACTTGACTTGAGGAAGGACTTCTCTCCTGCTGCAGCGTCTGTCCCCTCCCTCCTGTGTGCCATCCCCTGTTTTTCTCTCCTCCCCTCCCTTCTTTCTTGCTGGCTTGATCGAGTCATTGTTACAGTCTCTTGCCCGTTAACTTCCTTCTCTGAGAAACTTTCCCTCTTTCGTTTTTCTATTGTTTTGCTTTTTTTCTTTTTTCCCCTTGCTCTCCCTAAATCAGGCCAGCAGGAACTCAAGAGGAGTTCTAGACTGAGTTTTTTTCTTCAGTCCTAAAAGATTGACCCTTTTAGGACTGATGGGTTGATTAGGATTGATTGCTTCTGGGGGTGAAATGGACTGACAGGGAGGGATGGTTGATTTCCCTTTCATCCCTGGGCTTATGGGCTCTGCACCCGACTAGATCTTTGGAAACAGGAGCTCGGTCTGTATCTCTCAGTCTTTTCCTCCCTTTCCAGCTGTTTCTCTCACCTTGCTGGGAACCACCTTCTCTAGGCCTATTCAGTTCCTTTTCCTCTCACAACCTTTGTCTCAGCGGGTAAACCCTGCTTAACTGGAGAACTTTCCCAGACTGTTGATCTTGAGCTGGGAGGGGGAGGCCAGGTGACTGACTGGCACCCTCAGGCATTTGGGGAGTGGCTGCTGAGTGCCTACTTTCTCGGCAAGGCTGTGGGGGGCATTGTGTTGAGCAAAGTGGAGTAACAGATGGCCTCAATACAGATTCTTTATGCTGTTTACTAAATGTTAATGTAACCTTGCCATGATCTTTTTTTGTGCATGTGATAAGTGCATTGATTTCCTCTTCCCTACCTGTTTAGCATACTGCTGAGCACATAGTAGGACCTCTATGCACATCACTGACTTTGTAATAGCAGTAATCGGTGAACTTTGGAATGTAAGTAAGCTGCTCTTTGATAACTTCGTCCAGGGCAGTGACTGCATGCATTGTCATTGTCATTCTGCTCCAAGTTACGGATTTCTCGTCCTGTTTCCATTCTTCATAGACTTAGGTTCTCCTGGGCCACTGCATGGCTTCTGCTGTAACTGGCAGGGTAGACAGTCATACTGCTGACTAGGTAGTAAGTCTCATCCTAATAAAAAATAGATTTTGGAAAGCCTTGAAAACACCTGTTACAGGCAGGTACATGCATTTTTTTTTTTTAAACAAGAAAAATACCAAGTAGCAAGTCTTTAGGCCATAAGGCCAGGGAATGCCAGAAGCATTGGCCTCCTTTAGAATAGAACTTGCCGCCAGGTAAGAGCAAGAAAGCTCTTCTTGATTTTGTTGCCGTTCTTGCTGAAGTAGTCGTGGGAGCGCAGTCATTGCACTAAGCCTTCGTGTTCTGAAATAAAAAACAAGGGATTTGGTTGGGCTGATTGCTTCCCCCCAGAGGTCCTCTGTCACTCATTTATTTTTAAACGATTTAAACTGGTTTTACCAGAAAATAGGTAAACTACTAGTTGTCTTCAAGCTCCAATCACTTTTTGCTCTTTTTCTTCCCCTTGCTTTAAAACATGTGGTTGATAAGCTCTTTGTTTCCGGGAGCTCTTTGATCATGTCTGAATTACACACACACACACACACACACACACACAAATGTTGAAGCATAAAAATAAACCTTGTGTTTCAGGGAGATTGCCTATTTGCTGTCGACTCTGCTTCTAACAGTGAAGGTAGGAGGTAGAAGAAAGTCATGCCCTGTCTTTAAGATGATTTTTGTGACACCTGATTCTGGATGTGCTTTTTCACAGTCATAAACTCTTCCTTCTTTGGCAGGAGGGTTGTGACCTGGGGCTGGTGGTTTGCGGGGTTCTTAGTCTGTGAGCTGAGCTTTCTGTTCACTACTTTTCCAAATGGTTCTGCTGGCCTGGAGTCTTGGCAGTGGTGAAAGCAATCAGCAAGATGACTGCTTGTTTTCCGGCCAGCAACAGCAGTAATAGGCAAGTGTGGAGAGGGTCTAACATCAAGAACTTTCTGTAATACCTGGTGGGGGGCACTGCATGACTTTAGACCTGCCCCAGCTATGGGCCTCCAGACCACACAGGAGAACTTGAGAGAAAAATAGGACCCTTCACCCCCCCCCCCCCCCCCATGCTGCTGTACTGGGCAAGAATGTGGTGCCGTCTTTCTTCTAGGGAACAAGTGGTGTTTTTATATTGTGAGTGTTCTGGAAAGAGGTGTTTGGAAGTCTGGATGAAGAGAGCAAATCTGAACTTATAGGATCCTTCAAAGAACAACTGAGCTACTCCAAACATACCTGTCCCTTGGACCGCCATGTTGACTGTGACTGGATGTGGCACTGATTCATTTGGTTTTAGTGACATCCAGAAAAGAACTTGGTTGGCGCTCATTCCGTGTGAGCTGTGCAGCCCTGTGTGCCCGCTCTGATGTCTGCCTTTTGATTCTAGCCAGGGACTCCTTGGTGGTGCTTTCTGAGTGGGGATGTGGGTGCATATCAGACCGTACAGTCTTCCTTTCTGCTTGCCTCTAGAAATCAGGCATGAGGTGCTGTTTAGAGCAAGGGCTTCAGGAGGCCCTGAGGTTCATGGAGTTGCCATACCATAACCTTTGAGCCTGGTAAATTACCTAGTAAATAGTAATAATTCCTAATCTGTGAACTTTGGGAAGTAGCTAAACAGGTAGGTACAAGGCAGTCATTGAAACCTGGCTGCTTCAGCTGAAAACCCAGTTTGCATGGGGACAACTGAATCTTTTAGACAGTGACCAAAGACTGGGCCCTGGGTTTTGTTTTGTTTTGTTTTTTCCCCCAACATAAATGCCTTAACCAGAGTTGAGATCTTTAGGTCAGAAAAGATTGGGGATTTGTTTGCCTGAGAGGTTTGCACAGTTAGACCTTTTGGGAGTCAAACACTTCTCAGACTAGCCTTTTTTCCCTTTGGGCAGAACAACCCAGTTCTCAGGGGCCTCTGACCACGACTAACCCACACCTTCATGCACTTGTTCCCATCGAGCACTTAGCCACCTGGCTGGCATTTCCCCTCTCCCAGGAGCATCCATGCCTTTCTACATATGTATTATGTCAACGTGAATGAATATTTTATGCCTAGAGTGCAGCCAAGCCTCAGGCTTTATGGCCCATTATTGACAAGTGGGGGCTGGGGGTGGGGGCTGGGCGCCACCTTTGGCCCATGATTGCGTCTCTGCTAAATGGAAACCCCCCCACACACACTCCGCAGCACTTTGAAGCCCATTAATGGACTGAGATGAAGTAACCAGCAGATGGAAGGGGTGAAGAGGGTGGTCATCCTCCTTCCGTAGACAGCCTGATGGGGCTTTCCTACAGCCCCCAGCTCCCTCAGCCTGGTTAAGCTGTGTCTCCAGCTAGGCCTGTGCTTTGAGAGGAAGCATGGACCTGTTCTCCTGGCCACGGTGGGCCTGCCAGCTTCACCACTTTCCTGTCAAAGCAAAAATTGAGAATGATGTGGAAAGGGTGGGAGGAATTTAAACCTGGCCTTCCTCCTTCAGCAGAAGTTCAGCAAAATGACAGATTAGATAGGTGACTGAGTTTCCTTTTCTTGATGGGAGATTCCAGTATTTGTA